ATTGGCCCCCCCCCCGCCCCCCCCCCCGTGCAAAAAAACGGCCCCCCCCCCCCCCCCCCCTTCGCACCTGATGGCCTCGGCCACGCTGGAGCTGGAGTGTCCGGACAGTGCATCGTGCAGGTTCCTCACAAAATAGTCCCTATATTCAGAGGGCAGGGACATGAACGTCCCACCCATGAGGATGAACTCCACCTGCACATGGGTAAAGACCAGGGAACATGTTGATGTGGCCCAGTGGCACCCGGCCGGCCTCGTAGATGATCCCATTCTTTCCAAGCAAGCCCGCCGCACAAGAGAATATCCTACTTCCCATTGCCTCCAGGTCACCTTGTCGACGCTGTGGCCCAAGCGCCGCAGCTGGTCCACGCGCGCACGAGCCTGGATGTAGGGATTGTATCGAGCCCTGATGGCTCGCATAGAAGTGGGCTCATAGCCAGTGTACGACTGCGTCGAGTACTCGAAATCGGAGTCTGGGCCGCCAGGGCAGTACACGCAGATGTTGCCGGTGGTAGCAATGTGTGGGCAGCGATGTGGCTTGCTCATGACCGCCACAACAGCGATGCCCGACGCTGTACGCACAGGCTTTGCCCTCAGCCTGAGCGCGACGCAGTGTGAGGGTTTGAGATGCTGCTTGAATGAGCGACTTCTTGGGGCAGCACAGGGGAGGGCAAACAAGTAGCACTGGCAGCCTACCTCGGCAGCAGGGCAGCCCGGTGCTCCTCTGGGAGGGCAGCAATGATCTCCACGAGCTTGGGAGCACGCGCCAGGCTGAACTTGGTGGAAGCAATTCGCTTGATCTGGTTCAAGTCCACATCCTTTCCGGTGTGCAGTCCAGCTATCAGCTGACCCACGATGTCAGAGATAGCCCGTAGCCGCGCCTGCATGCGGTCGAGGCCCCCTGGTCAGAATGAAGGCAGGCCTACTATGGGAAAAACACCTGCAACCATGCCAAGGAACAACAGAGTGAAGCTCACCTCTGCAGGGTCGAGGACCACATTGCCCTTCTTATTTCTCGCCATGCGCATGGAAGGACGCTTCTCTGTCTCCGTGACTGCCATTGTGCGCGTCCCTTCGCCTTAGGCCCGAGATATCGGACAGGGTGCCCGCGTAGCGCGCAAGGGCAGGGTGTCCCCCCGAGAGGTAGGAGGTGAGACACAGCCCTCTATATGAATTGTTCTCTCCTCTCTTCTGGAAATCGTTTGCCGACCTTGATGGTTGGCTTGGCAAGACTGTATGCCCGAGATCGGTCCCATGCACCCGGAATATGCCACGGTGGACAAAGCGCGCGCTCCCTTTGTGTGAGCGGCGATACCGTTTCCTGTAATGACCAAACATGCTGATGGACGTGGGCAAAGTAGAAGGTCGAGCTGCGGCAACAAACCTAATTTCAAACGGCATTGGCTGCTGTGCCATGTCTGTTCTGAGCCAGGGTACGCAGACGCGCACACACTTGGCCTGCAACACCAAGCTCGGAGGTCCTCGCGTGGCCACATTCTGTGCTGCACGCCCCAAGTACCTTGCTCGGCGTGTGATGGCTGTCGCTCAGGCCAGTGCCGTGGCACCAGCGGGGCTTTCCGCTGGTACGTCTGTCTCAGCTCCTAGGGGGTCGCTTGAGGCCAAAGAGGCACTCGATCCTCTCTGCTCTCTGCAAGTCTTCTTTTCAATTCGAAAAGCTATCTCAACTGCTATGCAGCCCTGATAGACGGCAAGAAGATAGCCGAGACCATCCGCGGGGAGCTGAGGGTTGAAGTTGAAGAATTGAAAGCCCACAACAAAACCGCCCCCCCCCCCCCCCCCCTTCGCACCTGATGGCCTCGGCCACGCTGGAGCTGGAGTGTCCGGACAGTGCATCGTGCAGGTTCCTCACAAAATAGTCCCTATATTCAGAGGGCAGGGACATGAACGTCCCACCCATGAGGATGAACTCCACCTGCACATGGGTAAAGACCAGGGAACATGTTGATGTGGCCCAGTGGCACCCGGCCGGCCTCGTAGATGATCCCATTCTTTCCAAGCAAGCCCGCCGCACAAGAGAATATCCTACTTCCCATTGCCTCCAGGTCACCTTGTCGACGCTGTGGCCCAAGCGCCGCAGCTGGTCCACGCGCGCACGAGCCTGGATGTAGGGATTGTATCGAGCCCTGATGGCTCGCATAGAAGTGGGCTCATAGCCAGTGTACGACTGCGTTGAGTACTCGAAATCGGAGTCTGGGCCGCCAGGGCAGTACACGCAGATGTTGCCGGTGGTAGCAATGTGTGGGCAGCGATGTGGCTTGCTCATGACCGCCACAACAGCGATGCCCGACGCTGTACGCACAGGCTTTGCCCTCAGCCTGAGCGCGACGCAGTGTGAGGGTTTGAGATGCTGCTTGAATGAGCGACTTCTTGGGGCAGCACAGGGGAGGGCAAACAAGTAGCACTGGCAGCCTACCTCGGCAGCAGGGCAGCCCGGTGCTCCTCTGGGAGGGCAGCAATGATCTCCACGAGCTTGGGAGCACGCGCCAGGCTGAACTTGGTGGAAGCAATTCGCTTGATCTGGTTCAAGTCCACATCCTTTCCGGTGTGCAGTCCAGCTATCAGCTGACCCACGATGTCAGAGATAGCCCGTAGCCGCGCCTGCATGCGGTCGAGGCCCCCTGGTCAGAATGAAGGCAGGCCTACTATGGGAAAAACACCTGCAACCATGCCAAGGAACAACAGAGTGAAGCTCACCTCTGCAGGGTCGAGGACCACATTGCCCTTCTTATTTCTCGCCATGCGCATGGAAGGACGCTTCTCTGTCTCCGTGACTGCCATTGTGCGCGTCCCTTCGCCTTAGGCCCGAGGTATCGGACAGGGTGCCCGCGTAGCGCGCAAGGGCAGGGTGTCCCCCCGAGAGGTAGGAGGTGAGACACAGCCCTCTATATGAATTGTTCTCTCCTCTCTTCTGGAAATCGTTTGCCGACCTTGATGGTTGGCTTGGCAAGACTGTATGCCCGAGATCGGTCCCATGCACCCGGAATATGCCACGGTGGACAAAGCGCGCGCTCCCTTTGTGTGAGCGGCGATACCGTTTCCTGTAATGACCAAACATGCTGATGGACGTGGGCAAAGTAGAAGGTCGAGCTGCGGCAACAAACCTAATTTCAAACGGCATTGGCTGCTGTGCCATGTCTGTTCTGAGCCAGGGTACGCAGACGCGCACACACTTGGCCTGCAACACCAAGCTCGGAGGTCCTCGCGTGGCCACATTCTGTGCTGCACGCCCCAAGTACCTTGCTCGGCGTGTGATGGCTGTCGCTCAGGCCAGTGCCGTGGCACCAGCGGGGCTTTCCGCTGGTACGTCTGTCTCAGCTCCTAGGGGGTCGCTTGAGGCCAAAGAGGCACTCGATCCTCTCTGCTCTCTGCAAGTCTTCTTTTCAATTCGAAAAGCTATCTCAACTGCTATGCAGCCCTGATAGACGGCAAGAAGATAGCCGAGACCATCCGCGGGGAGCTGAGGGTTGAAGTTGAAGAATTGAAAGCCCAGAAGCACTTGGTAAGAAGGAAGGTCTCTCCACTTTTCCTTGCTGTCATCTGTGGTTTTCTAAACACTCTGTTGGAATCACGCATCATGTTGCCAAACGTCTCCTGCCTGATCCAGGCACCCGGTCTGGCAGTGGTGTTGGTAGGACAGCGGAAGGACTCCCAAACCTACGTTCGGAGCAAGAAGAAGGCTTGTGAGGAGGTAGGCATCGTCTCCTACGGCGTCGACCTCCCAGAAACGGCGACCGAGGACGAAGTCCTGGAGGTGCGAATTCGTAGCTCTCTGCATGGAGCCCTGACGGATGGGGTTGTACCAACCATTCCCCTGCATCACACCAGAGTTCTAGACCCCATCTTACACAGGTCGTCGCGAAGTTCAATGCTGATCCCAATGTGCATGGCATCCTGGTTCAGCTCCCCCTCCCAAAGCATATCAACGAGAAGCGCGTGCTGGATGCAATTTCGCTCGAGAAGGATGTTGACGGTGAGGTGGCGAATGACAGGGTGTTGGGGACTGGTAACAATGGAGACGATGGGCAGCTGGTCGCTTCGGAGGTCCTTAGGTATCCACTTGAAAGCATCATATCTCCATCTGTCCACCAGGATTCCATCCCAATAACATTGGGGAGCTGGCCATGAGGGGCCGCAGCCCAATGTACGTCTCCTGCACCCCAAAGGGTTGCCTCGAGCTGCTGAAGCGCTCTGGCATCACCCTTGCCGGCAAGCGGGCCGCGGTCGTCGGCCGCAGCAACATTGTGGGCCTACCAGCAGCCCTCCTCCTGCAGCAGGAGGATGCGACTGTGACGGTGATTCACTCGCGCACACCAGATGCCCAGCAGCTGTGTGCCGAGGCTGACATTGTTATCGCTGCTTGTGGCAAGGCAGAGATGATAACCGGTGACTGGATCAAGCCTGGCGCGACCGTCATCGACGTTGGAATCAATGCAGTGGATGTAAGTTTGCAGGTGCTGTGGCTGTGCAGTGCTTGAGGGTGCCTCGTGCCGAGTTATAACTTAAAGCCACGATTCCACTTGGCCAAGGAGGGGGAGTCTAGAGGCTACCTGTGTGTAAATATATAACATCCGCAAACTTGATGCTAACGCAGCCATCCATCCTTTGCACACCTCAGGATCCCACCGCAAAGCGTGGGTATCGGCTGGTTGGCGACGTGAACTTTGAGGAGGCAAAGGAAAAGGCTGCATTTATCACCCCTGTTCCTGGAGGTGTGGGTCCTATGACCATTGCCATGTTGCTGCGCAATACAGTGGATGGTGCAAAGCGCTCCCTTGAGAACTGAAGGTATGCTGTGTCGGGTACTCCCTTGTGTCTCGCTTCATGTGTCGCAGGGTGGGCCCAACCGGAGTGGACTGGCTGTGTGTAAGAGCATAGACATGTCAAGTACGGTCACATTGAAGCTTGTCTTTGTAATTCAATGAAGGATTAGATCTGAGACCTATAGGCACTGGCAATAGATTATGAATCTATACATACATGCAAGAATGGAATCCAGCGGTGCATGTTGCAGAAAGAGATCGTGCAGATTGCATAAAAAGCAGTCCCATCCTCGCTTTTATCGCCCGTCAACAGCAGCAGGTGCTTCTATGTGAACGAGCAGCAAAAGGGCTGCCTTTTTACTCCAAGTGTAATCCGCTGGCATGCATGTGTGTGGAAGCTATCTGAGCTGTAACTCTCGCGGAGGTGACCAGGAACGGAGACGTTACCTTGATTGGCAATGTTCTACAGGGATCTAAGTACCATATGTACTCGTGTTGCCAAAACCTCAAACCAGAAGGCTTTCTTTCACCGCCTATGATCTGGACCATCCTTCGATCCACAGAAGATTCTTAGGTATTAGGTCTGAAGTTCGTGGGGATGGTTGGTCACGGAATTCCGCCATCACAGAGGCTTGAGACAAGATGCACAGGACGCTGAGCCGTCACGGCTTGATTATGTTGATACCTGCTTGACAAATATCCTTCACCACTTACAACCAGTAAGGGGATACATAGGTGGGCGCATGATTCCTATAGAATTCCCATCCGAATAGATTGATGGCAAACTTCATTATGGATTGTCGCACTTGGTTCAGAGATCGATCAGCATCACACTCATAAGTGTTGTTGGTAAAGGATATCCTTGATCGTCACAGCAGATCATGCCGAGCCAATTTGGTGCTTCCAGGCGGAGTATCCACTTCCTCCTATTGATAGATGTCAGAGAAGTCGCGAACACCTCGTCTCACTCACTTGGAGGATCTGCGACACCGACCTTGACGTTGAGCTAACGTGATTGATGTGTCGAGACAATCAGCTCGACTCCAGACCCCACAAAAGCTCCAGATCAGAAAGACGGTTTCGGCAGATATCTGACTCGGAGTATGGCGATCTTGTATGGAAGGCGGAACAAAGCTGATGTTTGCCGAAGAGTTCGTCCAATACACCTCAGAGTCATCAGGCGACCCGAGTCACCAGGATTATATTACAGAGCAGATAATTCGATGTCCAGGGCTGAAGATTGATCTTGTTGTAGTTAGATGTTCCAGCCTTTTCGTTAGATACGGTCCTGTCAATGCTCCTCATCAGTAATATATTTGAGCAGCTCATTCAGCTGCATGGAGAACTCGTCACGGTGGACTTCGTGGTTCTTCGTAATATCAAGATGTGTAGCCGCCCCGTTCGAGAATGCTTTGTAATTTCCCTGTGGGTAGATGGGTGCAGGGCAGGCTCGCCCAGGAGAATTAAGGAGTACGTGTCCCGATGCCACACCTTCCCAAATGCAGCAGCATCTCTGCCAATCGAAGGTGCTGAAAGTAGAACTTAAAATGAGATACGATTCTCCGTTGCATAAGAGCTCGGCACAAGCAAGATATATCGTCACTATTTCGCCAGATCCGATATATAGCTGGAGATCGGTTGCAAATTCATCTGCAAATCCTGTTCTCTAATAGTATCTCAGATAGGTGGTGTTGAGCCTATGTAGAGTTCATCTCAGCTGTCCGACCTATTCCTGGATCACCGGGCTCTTGACAATGATGAAGGGTGCAGATCTACAATTCCTCATCCCAAGCTTGGCAATAGTGTGGCAGAGCACTTGAAGGGTGACCATGCGATATTCTGTCATGTAGCGAGAGGGTGCGCATGCTCGGCCCTCCCTCCGCGTGCATATGCTGTCGTTGCGATATTCATTTCACCCACAGATCCAAATGATCAGTATGCTTCCACCTGGAGGGGCCCCATCCAGGTCGACGGTCTACTGAATGTTGACAGGCCTTCATCGGTGGTAAGCGCCACCTCTTGAGTTCCCTCATTAGTTCAGGCCTATTTTATCAAAGAAGAACTCTTACCATGCGTTCAACGCGCTTTGAGTGGCTCTCCTCCATACTTATAAATGATTGTCCAGAAGACTTCGTAGGATCCCAGTAGAGACGTCAAGTCGTGTTTCACAGGCCAAGCAAGAGCATCAGGATAGATTCCAGGCGCACATAAACATTCAACTATCGATTCCTGTAGTTCCTATGTCATGCAATGTAAATGCGTTGCTCCTCCCCACCTGACTCATGAGGCAACCACATTGCGCACAGCTCTCCCTCAAAGCCTGTGATAGTGTTGCAGCCCCTTCTGATCTTAAGGTGATGGGCATCGATGCGAAAGAGATCAGTACAAGTTGAGCCATGAAGATCTGTTCTGTGTTCAAGTAATCAACGTTCACATGATTGGAAAGAATTCCTGATTAAGCTCTAATCTATTTCAGATTTCGAGCCTAATCAGATACCTCATCTGATGTGTAGAGCCGAGAGATTTTCGAGAGAAAGATTCAACCCGCAAGTTGCCACATCGTTAGAAATCAAGGTATACATGTGGCCGTGTCACGACGAATATCGGTAAGAGCCATCTGTCAAGAGGTGTTAGGATTCTATTAGCAATCATGTCGTTGCTCATACAAGTCCTATCATCGTACTGGAGGCAAACACGACGAATTGGGGATCGGTTGGTCAATGAGAAGCGTTCTCTTCGGAGGTTTGAAATCCAGGTGGAGGGTTTCAGGACAGAAACTCGTACTGCCAGTTGCGTCAACTTTGCATGGAAGGGAGGTTTTAGCATAAAGTCCTCTGTACGGTTCCGCACAGACCAGCATATAAATCTTTGCTGACGAATCTATTGAAGCACCTCCGTTCACACAGAATTCCGTATTCATTTCCTTCGTTCCATTTTCGCCAACCAACCGTTGAGCTTAAGCAATCCGGGCAAGTAGATGAGGATGGAATGATTAGAAGTTGTTGATATATTCAAGATTCAGTTACAGGCCTTGATTCCATTCGATGGTTCCTGCGACGAAAACCGACGATTGGAGCCCTTTTGAGATGAGTATTTGCGTGTTGTTTAGGGAAACTTCGGGGCACTCGGATGCAATATACCTACATGCTGTGTCGTAAAATGGCCTGGAGCTCAATACTTCTGTCTCGAAATCGCGCCTTTGAGCCGTAAAGTGATTCTTGAGAGAGAGACGCCAAAAGTCAGTGAGGCATCCTGTATGGGGGAAGGGGTCAAGCTTGGGGGGTTTCTGAAGGTTATCACCATTCAAAATGAGGAATTAAGAGCATATTTATTTCTCCACCTTGTCACGAGGTGCATATTGAGTGAAGCATCTACTCAGCGACTGAAATTTACAGTTACTGCCCTGGACAAGGAAGGGCACCGGCACGACTTACTGCGCCTTTTGCGTAGGTGCGATTATGCATTGAATTGCACCCAAGCCTTCCCTGCTTGGTAGCGTGTTCCTGCATGGCCTTAACGTCTATGTCTGCGACTGCGTTCTTAAATCTAGGAGAACCAGTCCTTTCTCCAGGTGTGTATGTGTCACCGCACTACATAGGTAAATTTTGGTTGCAGAGCAGTGATGAAGGCTCACGGGGTACTCGCCTTAATGAAGGGGAGGGACAAGTATGCACTTGTCAGGGTGAGCTCAGCAAATATTAATAGACTAAGAGTAATGCTCTCTTCCTTCACAACTGACGCACAGTTTCAGCTCCTCATGGTTCCAGTTGCGCCCCTTCGCGCTAGGGAGCGACGCCAAAAGTCAGTGAGGCATCCTGTATGGGGGAAGGGGTCAAGCTTGGGGGGTTTCTGAAGGTTATCACCATTCAAAATGAGGAATTAAGAGCATATTTATTTCTCCACCTTGTCACGAGGTGCATATTGAGTGAAGCATCTACTCAGCGACTGAAATTTACAGTTACTGCCCCGGACAAGGAAGGGCACCGGCACGACTTACTGCGCCTTTTGCGTAGGTGCGATTAAGCATTGAATTGCACCCAAGCCTTCCCTGCTTGGTAGCGTGTTCCTGCATGGCCTTAACGTCTGTGTCTGCGACTGCGTTCTTAAATCTAGGAGAACCAGTCCTTTCTCCAGGTGTGTATGTGTCACCGCACTACATAGGTAAATTTTGGTTGCAGAGCAGTGATGAAGGCTCACGGGGTACTCGCCTTAATGAAGGGGAGGGACAAGTATGCACTTGTCAGGGTGAGCTCAGCAAGTATTAATAGACTAAGAGTAATGCTCTCTTCCTTCACAACTGACGCACAGTTTCAGCTCCTCATGGTTCGAGTTGCGCCCCTTCGCGCTTATCCTACTGCTTGCCATATGGATACTAGCAAAGTTCTTCTGCACAGACCCATTTTAATTTTGTTGACGTTGCTGCACCTGGATAAGCCCAATTGATGTAAGCGGACTTGAGGGTATCTGTCGCGATATGTACAGATTGCTGAATGAGATTGTTGGCAGCACTTCTACCCGGCATGCATTTGTTGCACCTCTCAGTAGCTGTCGCACGTCACACTCAATGCTAAGCGTGCAATGAATTGGTAAGGGACGAATGGCATCCTTGAAGTCCAAACTTGGCGAAGCGTAGCAGATGCTGAGGTAGCAGTTCATTTGTGAGAGCATGGCTATGATGTTCATAATAAAGTGAGATACCCACGTTTGTCACCTTTTACTACAACCGCACCCCAATCCAAATGCCTACACCTCCAACAGTATGCACTTCCGACTGCCGGGTCTCTTGACCCGAAACACGGTCTTCGACTTTCTGATGGAAGGACCGAACAATGCTTGCACTCAATGTCCCACAGACAGGTCCTACCTCAGTGTAGGTATATGTAGGTTTACGGCGATGTGTGTCGGCGAGACCATCTTCCTCTCTAAGAGGATACTTTAACTGCACCATCTCGGATGGACCCCGAGACTGTACGTACACGATCGGTTCATGCAAAGAAGAAATAATACCTTTTACATGGCCTTCGCATGGTAGGTATATCCTGTAAGATAAGCGGTCGCAGTACATGCATGATTCGCGCTTAAGTCGAGTAACAGGCCATGGTAATCCGACTGGTATGTCTCAGGCTGTCGCTAAGGTGACCTGTGTGCCTTCCTCAGCAAAGCTATGTATCGTGCAGTGGAAAGCGATGCATGATCCTGTCGCAAAGGATAATCAGTGAATTCGTATGCAAACCTAGAAATTGTCATTTGGATAGACGAGCTTTCAAGGCCACGCATTCCTCCAAGAAGTGGGGCTCCATCCAGCAAGATGGCTGATTTTGGCTGATGGGGCATCAATTGGAACCAGAATGTTACTCGATATGTAGTCCAATACATGATGTGCAACGGCGAGCGCAAGTATGATTAGGTAGGACACGTGGATTCATCCTGGTAGTTGTATTCGCTTGCAATAAACTCGTTACTTCGCGAATGTTGTCCATCGGATATGCAATGCCAGAGAAGGTGAGTTCATTATCTCACGCTTCACCTTGTCAACTACAGTGGGAGCTTTTTGTCTTTTGAAGTTGGGGCAAGCCCGACTCTTGACACGATGTGGGCCAGTAAAGCCACTTCCGATCAGCCTTGACTCATGTAGAAGGGGAGTCTGGTGTTGCATGACCTCCCGCTCAGTTTGGATGTGTATTGTGATGCGATCATGATTGTTTCCCCCAACGGAGAATAGAGTCCTGTGGCAATATTGCAATTCTAGACCGCAAGGGAAAGGGAAAGGTCTCCCGTAAAATCTCGCTCAAGCCTTCCTCTCTTGGTCTTAGCGCGGCGTCATCATAGAACTGCATCGTTTCGTCCACGCTCTCGAGATGAAATCCTCAGGTATATTTCCTTTGCCTTCTCAACAGCTACACCTCGTCGAAGGGAAGGCCCAATCTTAAGGTGATACATCTCAATCCTCGCGCATCGGATCGCCAGATGGAAACGCCCTGCGGATTTAGCGCAGGATCTCTGGCCTAAACTCCCATCTCTGATGAATGTCACTGAGCTGCTTACACGCGCAAACATCAGTTCGGAACACATAAAAAGTTGAGACAAGGCTTACCAGCCTTGAATCGTCCAAACCTGCATGGATAAAGTTCAGCTGGGACATAGTAAGCCAATCTCACACGGCACTGCTCAAGATTTAAAGGGGTAGTAATGGGAAGAGAGGATTAGGGCTTGAAGAGGGGGAAATCACCCTTGCAAGACGTATAGGTGGGCACTGAAGGCATGCAGGGGTAGAAACGGCCAGCGCTCATTCCCAGTCGATCGCAGGAGATGCCTTGGATGCGGCACCTGGCAAACCAAAGATGTGTACCGACTGGTCGTGCTCGTCGCAGTGGTATGGCTGTGTAGCTTTCGCTCTGTCACTGACAACAATGACTCTGTACGCATCGATCCACTGAATTCCCTCGGCGTTGCAGTATACTATCTGGAAGAGGAAATGGTTCGTCGCTGATCACCTGGCAGTACTAGTCTGCAGAGAATCAAACACCTTCAGCCTCTTACCCTCGTGCACGGCCAACTTGAGTTTCTAGGCATTTGATCACAGCTCTCACCTCGCAGTGCTCGTTTCTTGGCAAGTGGACGATACTCCCCGTTCCCACGAAGTCCAGACTCTCGATGTCAAAGTCCGCGACCTTCATGCAAGGGTCACGAGACGTCCTGGTTGAATCCACAAGTGATTGGGCAACAAGCCACGAATGCCCTTCGGTGGTTCTCCCATCAAAGGCGCGCACAAGCTTACCCAAAAGGCAGCATTCTCTTGGCTGAGGATCGCGATACGTCCCAGGTTGTAATCGATGGCCATGGCAGAGTAGTCGATGAAGTTTGCCTCCTTCGGAATGTCTAGGACATCCTTTTTCACCCATCTGCAGGAGGATGTACTTGTAAGTCGATGCGACATGATCGCCCTAGACAAGTTAGGGACGGAGGGATGCAGACCAAACTCTTTTCTCGCTCCACACCTGCATCCATTGTCATCTGTGTCCAGCTGCAGAATAATGATGCGACCGTTTCCAGACTTGCGCCCTCTACGGCCACCTTCACAGAAATTGCCTTCACACAGGCCCAACAGGAACGCTCCTGCAACAGGAAGAACATGTTCGAGCAACATTGCAGAAATATGGCTGGCTTGAGGCATGGATGACCACCTGGCTGCGAGCAAGGCTAGTCTGCAACCACTGATGGGTACCGCGGTGTGCTGCTCAGTGGCGGCCCAGATCTCACCTTTGGAGTTCTTGACGTAGGCCATGCCCTCAAACCCCTTGTTTTCATGCGTCAGCTCAAAGTCCACAACGCACTTGGAGAGTCTCTCGTACTCCTTTCCATCTTTGCTGAGGCGCGCAGTCGTCACGAATGGCTTGTAGCCGCCCTCATGCTCTTGGGACTGCATGCCAAGTTGTGGCTTTGCCCTTATGCAGGACCATTGAAGAATTTCATAGGTTCCACACTATAAAGGACCCTTACCTCGTGCAGGAGTAGGAAGGTGTCGTCCTCGGGAACGTACGCGATTCCCTCAAACTGCGAGTCATTCTGCCCCTTGCCCCCGATCAGCTGGTTGGCAGGGTCCCGGAACTGGAAGCGATCGTCGAGATACCCAATGGAATAGGAACTGCGGCCGAGTTGGGACTAGCATCAGTGATCAGCAAATGGGGACCATGAGGATGTGGAGGATGCAAACGGGTCTCTTGCGGGTGCATGTATTATACCCATCTTGGCCCTGAGACGACTTGCCTGTCGAAGACGACGTAATACTTCCCTCTGACTCTCACGATGTCGGAACCCTCAAACACTGACTGCTCTCTAAGATCATCGAAGAGCCCAAGGAATGGCATCTCTTTCACCACCTTGGCCGTAGACCTCCGGGTATCCTTATCGTGACAACTCGAGCCCCTGCCCCTGACGCACGCAGCCAGGAGAGTGAGCACAGTGCATAGCACTAGACGTGATCTGAACATCATGGCGAGGAAGAAATACACACGCGGAATGTCGGCGATGGGAATTCTGGAAGATCGGGGGCGCCTGAAGTTGGGGTGACGACAGCGGGTCCGCACGCAGCGCTCATGCAGCGCACCCGTGCTCCGGAAGGGCGGGGGAGGAGAGCCACAAGTAGTGGCTAACCCGGTGTAGACCCCAGTACATGAGCCCGGTGTGGCCTTTCAGGCTAAGATAATGCCCTTGAACTCGTGATTAGCATGCTGAACTCTCTAACCAATCGCGTACTGTTCTAGCTGGGCACTTCGAATCCCGCCTCGACCCTGCTGCAGCGAAGTGCGCCCATGTCGCTGACGATCCCCGCCAGCCTGTCGTACCATGCGACTCACAGGCGGCCCGCTGTGCCTTTTAACGGAAGAAAGAATGTTGGTGCTAGGAAGAGCTGCGGCATTCCCGCACAGCACAGGGAAGGTGGCCCCCAAACGCCCGGTGAGGGGGTGGGCGACGGTAATGAAGGGCGGCCCGCAGAGTCGTTCAATATAGACGACCTCAACCCCATCAGCATCGGAAGAAAGTCAAGGGAGGTGTTTGACGATGTTTGGGCCCAGCTTCAGCGCATCAGCTCCCCCACCAAGAGAGGGGACCTGCCGGGCCGGTACCTCAGGTGCGCATGCATGAGGGGGGGGGAGGGGGGGTCGTGATGCAGAGGCCCCTCTGCACCTCACACTCACCCCGCCATTGTGCCACAGGCCAGAGTTCGAGACGCCGGGCGCAAAGGGAACCAAGGTCCTGGTGACAGGGGTCACGGGCAGGGTGGGCCGCGTGTTGCTACGAAAGCTGCTCCTCCGAGGGTACACTGTCACGGCACTGGTCCGGCAGCGTGGCGGCGAGGAGCGCCAGACGCTGCCGCCGAGCGTGAGGCTTGTCACTGGAGACATTGGTAATTATGAGGACTGCAGGGAGGCTGTGAAGGACGTGGACAAAGTTATCTGCTGTGCAACTGCCCGGACAAGCATCGTCTCTGACTTGGAGAGGGTGGACGTGGAGGGTGTGTCCAACATCGTCCGGGCATGGCAGGTGAGAACCTGGGGAGAGTGAGCATATTCTGGTTGCCCGATCATTGTGCGCTCCTCCCCACATGTGCGTCTGCCCCATCGTCTCCAACAGGATTCACAAAATCAGAGGGCTCGGCTCAAGCACAGGCTATCTCGATTTGCCAAGCTAGAACTCGTACACTTCAAGAAGCCCTACATAGGAGATGACTGGAAGGTCCAAGCAGCTCCCGAGAGGTCAACTTCTGCAGGTGAGCTGGGGCGCATCAAGGGGCAGGCTGAGGGCTTGGTGCGTACAGAATGGGGGGAGGAGTGACAGAGAGCGGTGTCCATTCTAACATTCTCCCAGCACGTGCAGGTGGCACTGGTCTGAGCCGGGTCATGCGGACGGCTGGACCCAAGGATGTGGCTGATATGGAGATCAACGAGGAGGGAGTCATGACATTTTCAGGTGGGGCTGTTGTGATCAAATGACCGTACAGCCTGACACGATGTGGACATGCTCGCTCACCCATCCCCGTTTTATGTCGACCGCCGCAGGGGCTGTCTATACGCTCTACAATGGTGTCAGACTGACAGGCCGCCCAGCCCCAAGCGTCCGTACTGGCCTGCACCTCACGGATGGCTTCATCATTCGAGCTCGGGGCGACGGCCAGATCTACACGCTCACCATCGCAACAGGTGGGAGCACTCCCTTGGGTGCACACCCAGCCTGCTGTGCACAAATCATTGCACACCTCTTCGTGAAGCGCCCCGACTCCTTGTCCCCCCCCAGAAGCGGGCGAAGAGTACACTGCAGAGTGGGTTCCGCCACCGTCGTACAAGTCTGTCCGCGTCGCCCTCGCCAGCTTCAAGCCGGCTCTGGAGAGCCTCAATGTCTCTGACATCACGTCCATCTCCATCGGGTACAATGCCTCAGACCAGACAGAGAGGAGCAGCGGACGGTCAGAGTTCTCTTGCAGCATTGACTGGATCAAGTGCATGCCTGGCGGCCTGGAGCCAGACTTCATCCTGGTATCCTGCTCTGGTGCAACCAAGGGTGAGTGGTGCCTTGTGGGATGTGGGATCTGGGGACTGAGGATGTTGGTGACACCCCCCCTCCTAGTTTTGCGTCTCTCGGATGCAAAGATCGGACACCGCTCCGATGCTCTTTGCCATCCAGGTCTGGACGAGACCGCGCGGGAACGGGTAATAGCTGCCAAGCGCCGCGGCGAGCGTGCGCTAAGGGCCAGTGGACTCGGTTACACCATTGTCCGTCCTGGTGCTCTGGTGGAGGAGACGGGAGGGTACAAGGCTTTGGTGTTTGACCAAGGTACACGCATCTCCCAGGTAAGAGATGCATTGAAGCCAGAATGTTGCTTGAACTTGACCCGCAATTGTTTTGCTTCAGGCACCATCACACCCCCTTTCACAATCGTAGGGGATCAGCTGCGCAGATGTTGCGGATGTCAGTCTGAGGGCACTGCACTGTCCTGAAGCCCGCAACAAGACATTCGCTGTTTGCTGGGAGTATGCGCACGACAATGATGATGGGCTGTATGAGCTCGTCGCCCACGTCCCAGACAGGTTCAATGACTACCTCTCGCAGGCTCTGTCCACAATGCAGAGCAATTCCTGAAGATTCTGTGTCTCCCTGCATGCAGACCTTCATTGAATGGGCCGGCCTTTGTCCTCCTCAGCACTGCTCTGTTTGAAACCCACCATGAGTGACGAAGATCATGCTGCGCGTGTTCTGATCGGGAAGCATTATCCCCACGTGGAGCATGGGCACCCTCCCAATCCTGAGTAAAACCCAGGCCCGCTGCCTTTTGCATGCAAAAAATAATTGCATCACCCGCACCGCAAAGTAAAATGACTACGTGTATCCCTGTCGCTGGACAGCAGCTCCTTCGTGCCCCACGCCCCACGGTGCCGTCCCGGCGCCGCACAGCTGCAATCACGAGGGCAGTCGCCGCACCCCCATCGACCACCCTGAACACCAAGAGATCTCAGGAGGTGCGTGTAGTTTAGGGTATCGCGATCGTCATTGCATCCATGCTGAATGTAATGCATTGCCTCCCCCCGGAATCTCACAGATCATCAAGGATGCGAAGACCATCATCCCGGGCGGTGTGAACTCCCCTGTGCGCGCCTTCAAGTCTGTCGGTGGAGATCCCATCGTCTTCGATCGAGTAAAGGTGGGTCGCATTTTTTTAGCGTCGCGGGGGCCTGATTCGACACCGTCACGGCACCCCAGAATGACCTTTCTGAGTGCCACCCTTTGCCTGTGCACCACCCACCATCACGCACCGTAACGCCCTCCCTACCCACAAGCCACAGGGTGCCTACTGCTGGGACGTGGACGGCAACAAGTACATTGACTACATCGGCAGCTGGGGCCCGGCCATTGTCGGGGCCGCCCACGACGAGGTGACCGCCGCCCTGCATGCGCAGCTGGACAAGGGCACCTCCTTTGGCGCACCATGCGAGCTCGAGAACGTGCTGGCCAGGATGGTCGTGGACCGGGTGCCGTCCGTGGAGATGGTCCGCTTCGTCAACTCCGGCACTGAGGCGTGCCTGTCGGTGGTGCGCCTCATGCGCGCTTACACCAAGCGCGAGAAGATCCTGAAGTTTGTGGGGTGCTACCACGGCCACGCCGACCAGTTCCTGGTCCAGGCTGGGTCTGGGGTGATTACCCTGGGCCTCGCCGACTCGCCGGGCGTTATGGCCTCCACTGCCGCGGCCACGCTGACAGGTGTCTGCCGGGCTGTGTGTGTGCGCGCGCGAGGCACGTCGTCTGCCGGCCTCCCGAGGATCCCTGGTCCTGCCGCTCCCGTTGGGAAGATCAATTTTGCATTCTCAACCCCAACACCTGACCACCCCCTCCCCCTCCTGCACACCACCAGCACCATACAATGACTTGGAGGCGGTGAAGGCCATCTTCGAGGCAAACAAGGGCGAGATCGCTGGGGTCATCCTGGAGCCGGTGGTGGGTAACGCCGGGTACATCGAGCCCACCCAGGAGTTCCTCGAGGGCCTGCGTGAGGTCACCAAGCAGGTGGGTGTGCTTGCCTGGTTGCATGTGGCTCCCGGGGGGGGCGGAGTAGGGGGCTTGAGGAGACTTTGCTGAGGTCCTTGCCGAGTCCCCACGTCCCTCCCCTCCCGCACCTCCTCACCATGCACAGGAGGGCGCGCTGCTCTGTTTCGACGAGGTCATGACCGGATTCCGCATTGCGCACGGCTGTGCCCAGGCACACTTTGGGGTGACCCCCGACGTGACCACCCTGGGGAAGATCATCGGGGGTGGCCTGCCTGTGGGAGCCTATGGCGGGAGGCGGGACATCATGGAGCTCGTCGCCCCATCCGGCCCCATGTACCAGGCGGGGACGCTGAGCGGGAACCCGCTGGCCATGGTGGCTGGCATCAAGACCCTGGAGATTCTGGACAGGCCGGGTGAGGACCGGGAGGGGAGGCGCGGGCATGGCCGCTGGCCTGCCTTGCCTGCTCGACGGCACAAAGGGTCCCCAGTGATGCACACCATTGCCTGCCACACCGCACCCCAGCACCCCCCTCCCCGCCAAATACAATACTTCACAAAACACAGGGGTGTATGAGCAGCTGGACCGCGTCACCAAGCGCCTGGTGGAGGGCCTGCTGAAGGCTGCCCGTGACACGGGCCACGACATGTGCGGCGGCAGCATCAACGGCATGTTTGGCTTCTTCTTCGCCAAGGGCCCCGTGCACAACTTCGAGGACGCCAAGGCCTCCGACACCGCCAAGTTTGCCAAGTTCCACCGGGGCATGCTGGAGCGGGGCGTCTACCTGGCCCCCTCCCAGTTTGAGGCCGGCTTCACCTCCCTGGCGCACACGGACGAGGACATCGACGCGACCATCGCCGCGGCGCGGGACGTGCTGCAGCACCTCTGAGGAGCGTGGGTCTGAGGCCCTAGCGTCGCCCACAGAATTTTGTTGACTCGGTAAGACTTCTCTGATCGTCATTGTTGACAGCATGTAATTCTAAAGGCTCAGATTGCTTCACGACGAGCCAGGTGGCGTGGTGGGTCGGGAGGGCAGCCGTGGCCCTGGGAACAGTACTTCAGCAATCCCGGGCCAGATCGTGGGCAGCCCGGCGCATGATCTTCAGTTAGATGACGGGAGGTCGACGGGGTCTGTGAGCTCACACATACAGAGATAGTGCGGTTGCCAAAAACACTGTAATGACGGTGCAGGCCGGGCTCGCTGTGCAGTGCCTTGCCCCGGGGCGGGCGTACGGGCACCCAGCCAGCCCATCACCCCAGCGATGGCGAGATCAGCATGGAGGGTCATGCCGGGCACAGGCTCCGACCCGGCCTCCATCCACCACTATAAGCACTGTGCTGCACACGGAAGAGCTGTCCATGCGGGCGCGGGCGGCGGTTCAGGGGAATGACTCTGCCCAGACCACCACGATGGGCTGTCGGGCTGGCATTGCAGCGCAGGGGTCAGGCTGGCCCGGTGCATGCGCAGATCTCTTGAGACCCAGCCCGGGCCTCCTCGCCGGCCTGGTGGTCAACAGTCTGGTCTACCTGCTGGGCATCAGAATCCTGCGCAAGGGACTCACCTGGGTCGGATACTCTTCTTCGTGGGTCCTGGGCACACTGTCCTATGCAGCGTTTGGCTACAAGGGTTACCTCATTGTGTGCCTCTACTTCATCCTTGGAACCCTGGTGCGTTGGGATGAAGCGTTGCGTCTGCCTTGTCTTAGCGCTCAGGCAGCTCCAGCTGCGCTAGGGACACGTAGTCCAGAAAACTCTGCTGATCCTCGACTCTTGAATTTAACATCAAACCCAAGCAGGTCACCAAAGTGAGGATGAAGCAGAAGGAGGCAGAAGGCATAGCTGAGAAGCGTTCAGGTCATCGATCCCTGGGCAGCGTCTGTGGCTCAGGCTTTGCTGGCATTGTGTGCGCAATCGGGCACCTACTTGCACCACAGGCGCTCCCATGGCAGGTGAGGGCATGGGCACTCCAGGGCATGACAGAGCTTCCTTTACCAGCTGAGATTCGGCCCAAGACCCGTGATCGATCCAGTGCGGCAGGTGGGCTTTGTGGCCTCATTCTGCAGCAAGGCAGCAGACACAGTGTCCAGCGAGATTGGCAAAGCGTACGGCAGCCAGGCATACCTTGTCAGCACCTTTCGCCGGGTCCCACGCGGCACCGAGGGGGCTGTGAGCTTGGAGGGCTCCCTCGCGGGGCTGGCAGCCGTGATTGGGATTGCTGAATTCGCTCTGCTTACGCATCAGGCAAGTGCAGGGCGGTGCAGCCCTGCCACTGAATCCCAATGTGGATGACGGCGAGGAACAATGACGGCCTGCAAACCTCGACAGTGAGTAGCCTCAGTCAGGTCCTGCAACCCCTTTCTCCACAGGTCACAGGCACAGGCGCGGGGGCGGTTGTCGTGGCTGCAGTGCTGGCCAACCTCCTGGAGAGTGTGCTAGGGGCCACCATACAATCCAAAACGGGCTGGCTCACAAATGATGTCATGAATGTCATCCAGATATCCTGCGCAGCCACCGCAGCCATGGCGTTTGCCTGCAGACTGGCGTGAGCCTGCATGCTCATGCATGGCTTCGTAGAACACGTAGACCCCTAGCGTCAAGCATTGGGCTGCAGCCGCTCAGGTGGCGTAGCGCTGGACGAGGTGATGCCTGAGTTTGTCCAGAGCCCGCCGCCTGTGTGAGATTGCATTCTTCGCAGCCTTCTCCATTTCCGCATATGTCTGCATCGAATGGAGTGCCAAGCCTGGTGTGAGGCCAGGGAGAGTGGCTCTGGTGGGACAAAGGAATGCCAATTTGATGCTGCACACTGGTGTCACCTGGTCAAAGCCGGAGGGTTGAAAAATGGGGTCCCACCCAAACGTGGCTGGGCCCCTGGCTGGGACGATAGTACCGTCTGTCCTCCCCATGAAGACGTGCGGCTCAGCATCGGGTCCTGCAAGGGTAGAGGGACCAGATGCGGTTGCCAGGGCGAGAACACAGGTGTAGAGCAAATCGGGATGCTCAGGGGCGAAGGATGGCATTGCAGACACCAACTCTGCTCCGCTCTGTGCCAGGCCGGCTTCCACCCTCGCAGGCTCACCGTCGCTGTAGGCAAAGGTGCACAGGGCATACCCTGTCTTGTCATCAAAGCCGTGCAGCATTCGGTTTAAACCATCGTGCCCCAGCTTCTCCAGAAACCATTTGACATAAGGACCAGGTAGCCCCTTGTAGGCATTGAAGCAAAGGCATGTGTCCTCGACAAAAACTGCAAGCAGGGACCCACAAAGCTTGAGGAGGCAGCGCTGCACAGCTCGCGGGCATGAAGTGGTGAGGTAGCAGCCCTCTCAACCCACCTGGACCCTTGACTTGAAGGGCTGCAAGGCGGCACTTCTCCTTTGCGATCTCCTCTGGTTCACCCTGTTCGTGAGGGAACCAGGCCATGGCAGGTCTGTCTGCACAGCTGTTTGCAATGTCAGGCGGCTGCAGATCCAGGACACATCGCATACCTGCAGTTCTGGCATGTCCACAGACACGGCCTCAACGTTGAAGGGAAGCTGCCCTTGCTCTCCAAGGATTGCCCTCACCTGCGGCAACCGAGAGTTGAGTGTGAGCAAGACTCAGGCTGCCTCAACCCTCCGCTCAAATGCTCGGGGCATCAGAAGATCCAAGAGGTGTACATGTACCTCTGCTAGCTTGTTTTTGTTTCCCGTGGTGAAGTGTACGGTGGGAGGCATTGTAGCAGCCAGCGTCATCCACCCTGCAGCAGCGGCTAGGTTTGCACAATTAGGATGCTCACAGAGCGGGCACAGGATTAGGATCATACTCTCACCGAGGTTTCGCATCGACCGTCTGTTCACTGCGCCTCAGGATAGCGAATGCGCACCTCGGGGGCCGGGTCTCTGACGGCGCGAGGTGGCACACTGGGGTACAATGTTTTGAAACGCAAGTGCAGTTGTTCGCACAGATGTTCTAGCCCCAAACATGTATGGCGATATAGGCGCGTCCCTAGACGAGTCCGAGGATACCCCAAAATAGTATCGGAGTATAAGTCTCGCTCGTCTTGGCTGCGGGGGATGAAGCAGGCCAGCCTCGGTGTGTGTGCTGTGCCTGCCGCAATGTCACCGGTGCGACTCTGCCTCCACGAAAACACTCGTACACCATCGATGTTGATGCAAAACCCAAGGACATTTCTACATCACGACGTTGATATCAAACTCCGATCGGTTCCCCTGTTCGCCTTGGGTGCCGCTTCCCATCGCTCCCACCTGTACTTCACCCGCGGCGCCCTGCCACCATACCGATGCTTACGTCGCGCTGCATGGCACCATGCACTCCGGTCACTCTCAAAGAGGACTCCAATCGGTGTGACGTCCAGGCATATGGCAGATCTGGCCGTGCATTGGACATCTCCCGACCTGCCCCCTACATGTACCATGAAAAATGACGTTTTTCGCTTCTGGTGTTGACCCAGGGTAAATTCATCTCAAGACCAGGGTTCGAACCCCTGTACGCTCTCTCCTTCCACCGGAATCCGAGCGTATGGTGCAGTGGCCTAGCACATGAGACTTTGACTCCCTCCACTTTTGCCTCAAGGCGTGCTTGGCAGGGGGAAGCCTATGGCCCAGCGCAGGCCGGGCCCTTCCCAACCTGCGCGCGCACCCCAGCTGGCCCCAGGGTTCAGCTACTGTACAGCAGGTCGTGCAAGTCTCCAAAATCTCATGGGTCCGTGGACGGAGGCAGCGCGCGGGGCCAGACCAGCGGGGTCGTGCGCTGCGCCGGCGCGTGCCTACTTGGCCATGGACCCCCAGAGGCCAGACCACATGCGCCCCCAGATGCCATCCAGGCGCGCGGTGCGCTTGAACAGCACGACCACGACGCTCATGTTGTCCGCGCCGCGGCACATGCCGGTCAGGTCTGGCGCCAGGCAGTGGTCGCACATGGACTCGCAGATGGCCTGGAGCGGGCTCCCGTTCTTGATGCGGCGCCGCACGTAGTCCACCGCCTCCTGGTTGCTCAGCACGTCCCAGATGCCGTCGCAGGCCATGATCATGAACTCGTCGCCCTCGCTCAGGTTCACCACCTCGATGTCGGGCGTGACCACCACCTGCGCGGGGCGAGGGAGCGAAACATGGTGAGGCCGCCGTGGGTGGGTGTTCCGGGGGCAGGGTGTACCAGAGGTGTGGAGGGAAGAAGGAGAGGAGGCTTGGGATCCAAGGCCACGAGGAGCTGCCTGCCCTCCGGCGATTGACCCATCAGCACATCACGCCTCACATTCCCCCTTCCCCACCCCCCCACCTCACCCCCCCCACACAGAATCCCAGCCCACCATCTGCTCGTGCGGCCCCAGCGCGGCATTGCGCTTGAAGTCCAGGTCGCCCAGCGCGCGGCTGACGTTCAGGGAGCCGTTGATGCGGTTGTCGCGGACGAAGCCGCCGGCGCGGATGATGCGCCGCGCCTCCTCGAACAGGATGGGCTTGTGGTCCAGCGTCAGCGCCACCGCCACGCCGCGCCGGCTCAGCACCGCGCGCGAGTCGCCGGTGTTGGCCACCACCAGGCGCCCGCCGCGGACCAGCGCGGTCAGCGCGGTGCAGCCCGCGCCCTCCGCGCGCGGCCGCTGCTCCGTGCTCTCCGCCGGCGCCGCCGCGGCCAGCGCGGGGACGGAGGCGCCCTCCAGGATGCCGAAGAGGGATGCCGGGTCCTCCGCAACCTCCTCGCCCTCCTCGCCGGCGAGGGCCGAGGCCTCGCGCCGCGTGTCGGTGCGGCCAAGGCTGCCGTGCTCCGCCAGCGCCGTCGAGGGGCCCTCGGGCGAGGCGCGGGGAGTCACGATGCTGGCGCGCTGCAGGTGGCTGGCCAGGAATTCCGAACTGCTGTTCATCTTGCGCAGCCGGCGGTCGACGCCGGGGGCGGAGGGGGCCGCCTCCTCCGCCTCCTCCTCGGGCGCGCTGACCCTGCCGGAGTCGAGGCTGGTGTTGCTCGTCGCGCTCGTGTCCACGTCAGAGAAGAGCGTCAGGGGCGTCCTGGGGGTGGCGGGCCAGGGTGGAGGAGGGCTGGCGCAGTGCCGAGGGTGGCGAGGAGCATGGGGTGGAGGAAGGGCGCCCTGGCCCTCCTTCCCAGCAGGGAGCCCAGACACCGAGTATGTAACAGCTATTTCCATCTTCCCTCCCCCATAGGGCACATCTCGCAAGCCTCTCACTTCTGTACTGGTGCAGCTAGCTGGTCGAGCTCCTCTTGACCCGCAGGGGCATCCATCAGCTGGTCCAGCTCCAAATATGCCTCCGCAACCGCGGCGCCCAGGTCGCCTGCCGCATACGCCTTTGTGGCCATGATTCTCCCAGGCTGCGCATGTGGGGATGGGGAGGAGGTGACGGTGGGGGGTTAAAGCACAAGAGAGAAGCTGAGTGCAGCTTCCGTCCTTGCTCCTTGTCATAGCGGCAAGGCAAACCCACGGAGACTGATCAAACGCCCCCGCACCGAGGTGCAGATCAACGACCTCTCCCTCCCTGCATGGCCCGAGACGCACCAGATATTTGGCGGCAAAGTGCGCGACCGCTCGGCCGCCATGCCCGTCAAACACCGAGAAGAGCGCCGTCTTCGTGGATGTATCAAACTCGACGTCTACGATGTGTGCGTCCTCCTGCACAAGCACATCAGGGAACGCCAGTCAGCTGGCGGATACTGTGGGGTATGCTCCTTAGAGACCCGGGTCCCCCGGCCTTGTTCCACATTCCTCCTAGTCCTCATCATCATGCCTCTCACCATCGCCACTCTCCAACCCTGCATCCCCGCGAATCCATAGGCGATGCTATCTGTCTGTCCCTCTCCCGATTCCTGCAGGGGGGAACGTCGTGGATAAGGATGCTGCTGCCGCGAGAAATCGATGCCGACGGATGGCCTGCGGACGCCCTTACCTTCTCCGTTATGGGAGCGCTCAGGTACTGCCCCATGCGATGAAGGGGCCCAGAATACCCGCCGCTGGCGTGTCGTGATGCCTTCTAATCCACCGATGGCACCGTTCCTTCGTCTCCCGAGATCACACAGCGTAGGGGGGAGGGGCACTCGACGCGCAGAGCGCACCGGAGTCGGGGCAAGGTGTCGCCGTGTTGGCAGCCCTGGATGGGAACCCTGCAGTCCCGAGGCTCCTGGTCGGGATTTCAACCCTCCAGACTCATGCGGTCGAAACCGTGGATGGTCGCCTGCGTGTCTCCCTGCCGGCTTCTAGGGCCTGGGCCTGTGCGAGCCCTGGAGTCCGCGCTTTCAGGAAAGGAGGACGGGCACTCTGCCTCTCTGCCATTAACTACATGCCCCTCCTTTGATCGCCCAGCCCCTCGGCATCGTTGAATGGCTGACTCTCTGGCTCTGGGAGGCATCAGGAATTCTCCTTTACAGCAGACACATTGGGGTTTATGAACGGTATTTCAGGCATTGGTGGCAGCGGCGGCCCTCGCCGCGGCCAGTGTCTCTGGGAAGCCATAGTCTTTCAGGACCACAACTATCACGCTCATGTTGTCGCATCCCTGAGGTCGCGGCACAGCGGGGTGGGAGCTGAGCAAAGTAAATGGGAGTCAACAAGAGTCATACTTGGCTTGCAGACACCAGCACTTCTTTCAACCAGGAATTCCTCTGCACCTTCACAATCACCATTCCCTACCATTAACATATAATGACACATCAAGCGAGCCTCCCGCCGCGGTAAGCAGCTCCCAGCTGCATGCAACCAAGCCTCCTGCCTGCCTACCTTGCCGCAATTGTCAGTGTCGGGGGCCAGGCAATGATCGCACATCGCCTCGCACACCTCCCTGGGCGTCTTCCCACTCAAGAGCCGCTCTCGCGCGAAGTCGACGGCCTGAGAGGAGACGAAAACATGACAGGGGTGATTGACCAGCAAACGGTTTTGCCAAGCTCCACGCAGTCAACATGCAGCCAGGAAGGTAGAATGTTTCTAACGAGAGCTCTCCTGCCCGCTTCACCCTGGGGAACCTGTCAGCAGTGACCCCTATCCACTCCTCACTCCCTCCCTTCCATGCGCGCCCCCACCCCTTGCCGACCTCTTGCACGGTGAGGACGTCCCAGATGCCATCGCAAGCCAGGATGAGGAACTCGTCCCCAGCCTGCAGGGTCTCCGTCCTCACCTCTGGCACCGCAGTCACCGCCTGGTATCGGCAGGGTGAAGGTTCCACTTGCAAGCGTGCACCGTGCCCACGGGATGCCAGCAACCCAGCCTCGAGTATGTCGGGAGCACCATCTCCACACGCTATCATGGCGAAGCACCGCCCCACCCTCCCTCTCATGAAGCAAGCGCGTGCAGCGAGTCTCTCCACATGCCTGTGCCCAGCCTGGGCCGCCATCTCACCTGGTGTTCCGGACCCATCTCCTTGCTCTGTTTGTACTCCATGTCGCCCAGGGCGCGGGACAGGTTCAGGGACCCATTCACCCGCCCGTCGGCCACAAAGCCTCCGGCCTGCATGGTGGAGTGAGGGGGCATGATCAGGGGCTGGGATCGGAGTGCAGCTCGGGTCCTCGAGGATGCTGGGCGGCAGAAGTTTGGGAGCAGCCAGCCCACACCGCAATCCCCCGTCACACAGAGAATGATCAGGTTCGCATCAGCATGCACTGCGGCGACAGATTACCACAGTTACCATACCATCCTGGCCCGAGTACGTGCTCCCAATCAGACCCACCCACACTCCCTCCCAGCAGTCTGCGGCCCCCCCTACACCACCCCCTGCGCCGCCGACGCCGCCTCACATTGATGATGCGGGCGTACTCGGCGGGGTCGTCCGGCTTGTGGTCCTGGGTCATGGCCAGCGCCACCCCCCCCCGCGAGAGCACGCAGCGCGAGTCGCCGGCGTTGGCGACCGTGAGCACGCCGGCCTTTACCAGGGCGCAAACGGCGGTGCAGCCGGCGGTGGGGCCCAGGTACTCGCCCTCCCCTTGCTCGGAGGGCGTGTCGGGCTGCGGGGAGGCGCCGTCCTCGACCACCGCCGCGACGCGCAGCTCCTCCTCCGCGGCAGAGGGGGCGAGCACGGGCAGCGCGTCGGCATCGGCGTCAAAGGGCGACCCCACGGCGCCGGTGTCGCCCGAGGAGGTCTCCGCTGCAGTAGGGGGGGTGCGGACGGAGGAGCGCCGTGGTCGAGGAGCTGCTGCCACATGGGGGGTGCTTGGCGCACGCACTGCCCCACCCGCACAGCCGCCTTCCAGCAACTCATCGGCCCCACCGCGCCGTGCACTCAGCACGCGCCCATCCTCACCATCCTGGGCCGCGCTGGGCCCCGACCTCCGCAGGGCTGCTGCGGCGGCGGCCTCCACCCGCTTTCGCTTCGCCTTGACCTTGGCGGCGTCCTGGCTGCTCAGGGGACCCTCCCCGCCCTCGCCCTCGGCCCCCGCCAAGCCGGGCACGGCCGCCACCGCCTCCTCCTCACTGCTGGCCGCCGTGCTCTCCTCGCTGTCCCCCTCCCCCGCCGCAGCCTCCTCATCCTCCTCGTCCTCGGTCAGCCCCTCCACCATGAGGCCCCGGGCCCCATTCCGCACCAGGCGGATGGACACCCCGGACTCGGCCGTGAGGCCCAGCGCCTCCAGGATGTGGTCGGGCAGGCTGCCGCCATTGATTACCATGGGCTCCTCCTCACCGCGTCGCCTGGCAGGAGGATGGGAAGGGGGCCAGGGTGGAGACATCGTCAGGCAGCATGCCGCCGCACGCGCCAGCATGGAGTGTACCCCTGGCCGGGGGTCCCCAGGCGCTCACAGACATTCAATTTCGCTGCAGCACGGGCCCCTTGGAGCGAGGCGGCCTGCCTCCCGGCCCTGCCACACCCCAGCTCACGTTTTCTGCTTCTCCTCCTTGTCGCCACCCCGCAGTGCCTTGAGCTCCTCCCTGTGCTCTGGCAGCACCAGGAGGTCATCCACCGCGAGGAAGGCTTGGGAGAGTGCGAGGGCAGTCTGACCCCCTCTGTACCCCTCTGACTCTACCACCAGTTGGGGCTGCATGAAAGAAAGGGGTTGAAGGGGATGAGGTGCGCGTGATGGGCAGGTAGACCACATCGGCGGCCGGCACCTGGAGGCCAGACGCACACGAGCAGCGATGGCCATGGCCGTCACCCAATGCGCATTGGCGTATATGTCATGCAGATCAGTGCGGCGGCTTGATGAAACCCCATTCCACCCCTTTTCCAATCCGTTGCGCCTCCCGATGCGTAATCACCAACCCTTCGCCTACCACGTGCACTGCCGCATACTTTGCGACTTCCTTGCCACCATGTCCATCAAATACCGCAAAGATCCCAGCATCGCTGCTCGGCTCCACCCTCAGGACGGTGGAGTGCGCATCCTCCTGCGGAACGCGGGCGTTTTTGGAATGGCAGTGAATGGGGTAGGCAGGCCCTGGGCACCTCTTCCGCTCCGTCGCGCGCATGCGGGGGCCACCGCCCACGAGCCCTCACACGCTTACCATGTCCATTCTCCAGCCCTGCATGGCCGCGACTCCATAACGGAACAGCTCGTTCTCCCCCTCTGCAGTCTCCTGCGGACAGCGGGGGGCACAGGGTGTCGATACCAGGCAGAACTACCTTCCGGCCTCAGAAGTCAGGAGCCTCGTCAACGCACCTTTTCTGTGATGGGCTGACTCAGGTAGGCTCCCATTCTAAGAGTGTGGAGGAGAGGCTCCGATCGGTACCTTCAGGACGCTGCTGTCATTATCCCGGGGGGCGCGCACTCCAGGGGGGGATAGCCTGCACAGCCTCACGGGACAGCAATATCAATACAACTTGGTAGTTTGTATTGCTTTTGGCGTGAGAGGCGTCTTCCGTACAGACGACGGCGACGGGGCCATGCCACATCCCCTCGCCAAATCTCCGTTACGGAGGGGAACTTCGCCGGCGCGCGGGAGAGACGAGACCTTCCGAAATGAAGATCGACGTGTGAGTCCATGCTTCCCCCAAACGACATCTTCCGACGGTACTCGACATCCCTAGCACTGCTGAGGGCACCAGTCCCATATCTCTGCTCCCCAGCGAACGGATCGGTCGTTGTACTTGTCAGCATGGGGGCTGTGGCCCTTGCCATCCTCGGATGCATGATGTTGCAATCTGCCTTGGCCAGCCTCGCCCCAGCTCGCAGCTTTGAGATCAGGGACGACCAGTTCTTCAAGGACGGCAAAACAATCCAAATCATATCCGGCAGGTGTGTTGACCATTGCACGGCTCATTCTCATGCCGCACGATCGAGATCGTGCGGTGTGGACCAAAGATTCACACGTCGATCCCCACTCCCCTACAGCATCCACTATTTCCGATGCCACCCTGCGCTCTGGCACGATCGGCTGGAGAGGGTCAAGGCCCTGGGCCTGAATGCCATCACGGCAAGTGCTCGCATCATCTTGTGCCTGGCCTGTCAGCGGTGCCTGCACGGCAGTGCGGTGTGGAGGATACTGCAGGTGTTCTCGTTGTGGCGCCATGCTGACCCTCCCCGGCACCACCACCCATAGGTGTACGTCGCCTGGAACGTGCACGAGACCTTTCCAGGGCAGTACGCCTGGGAGGGTGGCGCCGACCTCCTGCGCTTTCTTTCGCTGGCGCACGATCGCGGCCTGCTCGTCGTCCTGCGCCCCGGCCCCTACATCTGCGCGGAGTGGGACTTTGGGGGCCTGCCCTGGTGGCTCGGCTCCTCCAAGGTCAGGGTGCTTGTGGCGCGCTGACGCCGCGGGACCAGGGCGCCGGGGCGGGCATGGTCCTAAACTCCTGGTCAGGACGCCCAGTTGGCCGCCCAATGTTTTCCACTTCCACGCTCTGACATCCCCCGCTCACAGGTCCCTGGCGGGCGCAGGATGAAGCTGCGCTCGTCCGACCCCGCCTACCTGGCGCACGTCGATCGCTGGTGGGGGGTGCTGTTCACCATGATCAAGCCGCTGATGTATGAGGCGGGCGGCCCCATCATCCTGACCCAGGTCAGTGGGAGGGTGCGCCCATGGGCCTGTATGGCGCTGCACTATCGGCGACTGAAGACCCACCGAGACCACATCCATACCTCTGCGCTGCTCCGCACCGCAGATTGAGAACGAGTATGGCTTTTGTGGGAGCGACAAGGAGTACCTCCGTCACCTGGTGGGCCTGGCCCGGCAGCATCTTGGCGAGACTGCAGTCCTCTTCACCACAGGTCTGTTGCTAATTGGGGATATCCATTTGCCTGAGTTTAGAGCGTGCAGGGGTTTCCAGTTCGTGAGAGTCCCCACCTCGCTCCCTTTCCCTACCAGATCCACCCCATGTGGCCTCCGATGGAACCTTGCCCGGGAGCGAGATATTCACGTATGTCCAACTCGCGAGAGGGGCGTTGGGCTTATGAGTGGGTGTTTTTCCATTCTACACCCTTGCATGCTCCAAGGCACACCTGCTGTGACCATCACAAGCCGGCACGGCATCATCCCCTTCCCTGTCCTCAGGGCCGTCGACTTTGGCCCAGGCTGGTTCAACCCGGAGGCAGACTTTGCTGTTCAGAAGTCCCTCAACGCGCCTGGATTGTCACCACCCTTCAATTCTGAGTTCTAGTGAGTGCAAGCGATGTCTCAGGAAAGGCACAGTCAACCCTGCGTCACCATGGTTGAATACCAGCATCTCGTGTTTGACCCTAGCAGCTCTACTCAATGGTTGATCTCCCAGTCAATCACAACCTGTACCTACCCCTGTGCAGCTCCGGATGGCTGACGCACTGGGGAGAAAGCATGGCAAACACCAGCTCCAGCGTTCTGGCAGCTGACACCCAGGTCCTCCTGCGCTGGGCCCGGAACACCACCTCCCTCTCCTTCTACATGGTGCATGGGGGCTCCAACTTTGGATTTAATCAGGGGGCCAACGTGGATGGATCAAACTATCAGCCGCACATCACATCGTATGACTACGACGCCCCGATCAGCGAGGCAGGGGACTACTGCCAGCCCGGCATCGGCGGGGAGTGCAAGTACCATGTGAGTGGGCTGGGGCCTGCAGGCATGCACACAAGGTCTATGTCCCCTGGCAGACGAGAGTGCCGTCGTGAGAGCCTGCCATGCGGGGACTGTGCGTTTTGCACTCAGCCTAGACCCACGGCTCGCCTGTTGCCAGCCCAAGGGACGGCGAGCATGCTGCCCCTTCCCTTTCGCAGGCAATCCGAGAGGTCATTGCGCAGCACACGGGGATCACCCCGCCTCCCCTTCCGCCCCGACCTCGCATCCACGCGTACGGCGAGGTGCATCTGGACCGGAAGGCTGCACTCTTTGACGTCTTGCCCCAGCTCAGTGAGCCTGTAGATACGGTCCGCCCAGATGTCATGGAGGAATATGCCCAGCGGTGAGGGCATCCAAGGGTAGGGGGTTTGCAGCCAGGACACTCACTCAATCCCTATGCCTGAGTGCCAGTCATGCACACATCTTCTTCCATGAACCTGGGGCCGTACGCTTTGTCACCTTGCCACGCACCCTTCCATGTGTGCAGAAGTGGCCTCATCCTCTACCGGCACATCATCCCCCGCAAGCAGCTGAGCAAGAGCTCGGAGCTTGATCTGGGTGCAAGTCCCCACGATTATGCCACGGTGTGAGGTTGGGCGTTTTCAGGCGGCTTATCGAGCTCCGACCAAAGAGGCATTGCTCACGCTGGATTTCTCATTGGTGCTGTACCCACCATCACGCTCTGCAGGTATACCTGGATGGCCAGGTATCGGGTCGGATGCACAGGGGCAGTCCGACCACACTCCAGCTTGGAGCATCCAGGCGGGGTGAGATTGACTGCCCCTGGATTCCCTGCATGGAAACCGTGTCATGTCTGTGGTGTGGCCCCACCGCTTGACGGCATGCAGCGACGTGTACTGCCAGGGCGGTGGCTAGACATAGCGAGCGCGTCTGGCCACCTTCACCCACCCATGCCCTCTACCTTCCCTGAAGGGCCATACAATGATGCTGACACAGCGAGGCTCGACATCCTGGTGGAAGCCATGGGACGGCGCAATTTTGGCTGCGAGGAGGGTGGCTGGGATCTCAAGGGGCTGCAGTCGTCTCTGGTGACATTGAACGGTGAGTCAGCGGGAGCCAAGCACGCACCCAGGGAGACTGGTGGGGAGGGCTGGTGGCAAACGTGCATTCTACCAGGGCCTGGGTGGGGACGGCCCCGTCTTCATCTCTTGAAGCGCTCGAGGAACCCCTTGGGCTGTGCCCCGCCAAAGCGCTGCAGCAGTCCCTCAAACTTTGGGCTCTCCCGCAGCGGGGCAAGGTCGGGGTCATTCCTCATCTGATCAAACTCAGCGTAGCCTGTTTGGTGGGGGGTGGGGTTGTGGATCACTGACTGAAGGTGTCTGGGAGTCCACCAAGTGAGGACTGGACACCCCCCCCCCCTTCACCATGCCGCCACAGCAATCCTTTCCATGCATCATCCTTTGCTCCCCACTACACTGCTCCATGCCACGCCGCTCACCGCTTTCTAGAGCCCCAGCCAGGGCTATCATGCCGTTTTGGATGTTTCCTAGCTGGCCCTGGCAACAGGCGATGTTGTACAGGGCAGCAATGCGCTCGCTGTTGCTGATCTGGGGAGGCTTGTTCCGAAATCTTTTTGTGCCTGTTCCCGGCAGTTCGAGCGCTGCTTCAAACAATCCTTGTGCCGCATCGTACTTTTTCTCTCGACACAGCTCTATGCCCTGGGCAATGGCCGCCGCCGCGGTGTCCGGTCGCGACAGGGCGTGCGGCACCAGTCGCCGGCCTCGGCAAGGCACAGGAGGCCGTCGGCTGCCCATGCCGATCCCATGGAACGCGCCGTGACGCACCATTCCACCTTGCATTGCACGGCGATGGCCTGGGGAAACAAAATCTGATGTTCTGTGCACG